CCTTAGGGGGCTCTGGGAACAACGCACAAGAGCCTGATTACGTCGAATTGTGGCAGTGTCGGCTGGATACAGTCTTCACGCGCAGAGAACTGTCGCGGCATTTCGGTACTGCTATAGTGAATTTTTAGATAAGTCAAGTCTTATAACAACCAATCCCTATGTGAACATACCCCATAAAAAAAGGTAGATATCCCTAGGATCTCATTTTAACTGAGGGAGGTAATAGACCTTTTCTCAGGATAAATACAGGACATGGATACAAGTGTTAGAGGAGGACATAAATTTAACGGAAGAGCATACCGTGTTGGTGGGCAATGTGCTTATTTGATCCCCAGGGGCTGGCAGAGGGACCTGCCCGCGCCTCTCCAGCTGCCCCTGACCCCCCCCCCCCCCAGGGTGATGGACGGGAGCCGGCTCTGGTGGCCGCGAATTCCGGGTACAAAGGACTCGCCTGGCCTCTCGGTGTGTAGCTGGCCCCTGCTCAGCACCGCCAGGTTCCCAAGGAGGGCACTGGCTTCATGGTGCCAACGGGGAAAATGCCCCTCCCAGGCCCGGGCCACCTGCTGAGCTGGGAGGGGGGGCAGGCTGCTGGGGGACACCCGCTGGGGTGGGGCTGCCGCTCAGGAGCGAGACCTGCTGGCTTCCCTCCCGCAGGGCCATGCCCGCGGCCCTGGGCACGGCATGCAGGGGCAGCACCATCGTGCCTGAATGGGGCCCGGAGCCCGGTGGCCTGGCTTCAGATGCTGGCTCTAGTGCTCACCAGCTGAGACCGCTGTGAATTCTCCCCTCCCTGTGCCTCGATGCCCTCACTGGCAAGAGAGGGAGGCAGCGCCAGGCTCCTGCATCGCCTCGAGGCCGGTGCCCTGTGTTCGGCGTGGCCTGGCACAGAGGAGGAGCCCCATCCATAACCGTTGTGGTTCCTACTGCCCAAGCGGTGTGGTTGCTCCCCAGGGGGAAGAGCCTTCTCCCCTCTCCACGCCTTCTCCAGCCTTCCTCAAGGCTACCCCTCCGCGGGCTCTGCTCCTCCCCCAGGACACCCCGGGCTGGGCCAGCCGTTCACAAAGACCCAGTCCTGAGGGGGAGCAGTGCGCCCCTCTTCTGCGGGAGGTAGGGGATGGCTCAGCGACAGACGGTCAGGGGGCTCCCGTGGCCTCCCGCCCTGCCTCCCAGTGCAGCCCACCCCAAGAGCTGTACAAGTCCTAGCATCTCTGTTGTGGGGAAAACCAACCCCCCAAAAGTAGTTTCCTTGGGGTCAGAGATGAATGAAGTCAACCGTGTTCAGCGTGTGTGTGTGTGTGTGTGTGTGTGTGTGTGTGTCCACATGCAGGCCACAGGCCCTTGGGCTCTGCTACTGTCCTGGGCCATAGTGTATGGTGAGAGCAGTGTCCAGAGGTCCCCGTTCATTCATGTTTACATACATATATGTTTCAGAGAGGGAGGGAGAGGGGGAGAGAGAAAAACATCAATGAGAGAGAATGATTGATTGGCTGCCTCCTGCACGCCCCCCTACTGGGGATCGAGCCCAAAACCCGATCGGGAATTGAACCAGCAACCTTTTGGTGGGCAGGACAACACCCAACCGGCCAGGGCCTGTGCCCATTCTTAAATGAAGGCAGCACCTAGGGAAGGGGTGGGGCCCAGGGGGCTGAGGCCTGGCTGTGTCAGCCTCTGCCCGGTGCTGAGTCAGGAAGCTGCAGGCGCAGCTCAGTGCCAGCCTTGGTCCCGGTCACACCGCTTCACACCCCACGGCCAACTGTAAGCACTATTTTTAACTTCTGTGAAAACACACGGCATCAGAGGCCCAGCCTGCAGCTGCCTCCTCCACAAACCTGTTTCCTGGGCAGAAAGACTGAGGCCTGAGAGGACCCGGCGCTGGAGGACAGAGGGAGGAGGCCCAGAGCGCTTGGCTGGGGGACAGAACCTCCAGGCGCAGGCCTCTGGCCGTGAGCAGCTCCCCAGAGGGCTGCCTAGGCCTGTCCTCCGTGGTCGCAGGCTCGCCCGGGCCTGGGCTGGCGGTCTAGGCAGGTCCCATCCTCCCGGCCCCGCTGTTTGCCCGTCTAAGAAATGGAGAGCGGAGCTGCCCCCGCATTTCCTAGGTGCCCGCCCTACGTCCAGTCCTTTGTCCGACTCGCCCGCCCCGTGTCGGCAGCTGTGCCCACTGTGTGCGCAACCCCGCACCCCCCCTGCCCCGCTGTGCACCACCCCCTGTGCGCTGTGTGGAGGGCTCTGTAACCACGATGTCCTTACTGTGCCCCCACTTGTCCTTGCACTTGGCTGGCCCGTGTCCACTGTGACCTCGCCCTGCGCCCACTGCTCCAAGCCCCCTCCGGCCACCACGGGGGAGCTGACACAATGTGACAAGAGCTAGAACGCTGGGACTTGAGAATTCTGAGCCGAGGCCCCGCCCCCAGCTCCGTGGGATCCCAGCCCCAGGTTTCACGGATGTGGCTCTGGGAGGGGGCTCTGAGGCACAGACAGAGGGGAGCCATCTGGAGCAGAGCCACTGCCAAGGAGCGTCTGTCCCCAGAGCGGGCGCGAGAACCTGGGGAGCCTGGGGTGGGGCCTGGGCCCTCCCCCTCCCCTGCCTCCAGGGCTGGGTGGGCAAGGGGCCTCATGTCACACCTGGAACTGCAGCCGGGGGCCAGGGCTCCGTCACAGGTGGCCACCTGGAAATGAGGGGAAAGGAAGGGCCCCTGGAAATGAGGGGAAAGGAAGCGCCCGTCTTGCCTGGGAGGTAGACGGAGAGCCCGGGCTTCCTCAGCGTCTCCCCGCCCGCCTTCCTCCCCGAGGCTTCCCCTGCCCTCCGGCTCCCAGGCACTGCCCTCTCCCAGCACCAGCACCGCCTGAGCAGAGAGGGCCCCTGGCCGGGAGGGGAGAGGAGCGGCCGAGGCTTGGCAGCTTTCCTGGGCGACCTGGGCCTTCCTGTCTCCCCAGGCGGGTGGGGCCCCTGGTTTCCCACACTCTGTCACCCCCACCCAGGTCACTGGGGGCTGTGATGTGTGGGGTCGTCATGGCAATAAAGTGGGGGCAGGGCGCCTAGGCATGGAGCAGGACTATGGAAGTCACCAAGCAGGTGGGGGACCCTGATCCATCGGACCCCCAGGGCCACCCCTCAGCCAGGAGCCAGCAGCTGCTGTGGGGTGGCCTCAGAGAGTCTCAGGGGCCGTGGATAAACTCGGGGCCCATATGCTTTAGGCAGCGGCTGTCATGGTCCCCCGAGGCCGTCACTGATGGGGCCTGTGGCCCAGCCTCCCAGGCCCACGGCCCTGAGCCTGTTCACCAGCTCCCCTGGGGCCCCGCTGAGGGTGGCGCACAGTGTGGCTCGGAGCAGGCCTCCCAGGACGCCCCGAGACTCTCCTCCACCGGCCCGCGTCCCAGCCCCGTCGTGGAAGCCCAACTGCATCTCGTCCTGGAGAATGAGACCCTGCCCCTGCCCTGGGGCACGCCCAGGGACAGCTCCGATGGCCTGGCCCAGCTCGGGGGCCGCAGCTCCTGGCTTCAGGTGCAGGCTGCGAGGGAGGGCAAGGCTCCGGCTAAAGTCCTGGTAGGCTGGGGCAAAGGCCCCTGCGGCACCCACCAGAAAGACCCCTGGGGCTTGGCAAGGAGCCAGCAGGTCCCCTGTTTCCTTGCAGGGGAGATTGGCTCAGCTGCAGCCCCAGGTCCTCCTCACGCTCCAGCCCAAGATCAGGGTCGGTGCTGGTGGCCGGCTCAGGCACCTCCAGCTCCAACGCGGGCCAACACTCCAGCTCTGCAGACGACCCTCACGCCGGCAGCAGTGGCACGTAACACCTGCAGCCGCGACCACCTGCCCGGGAGCCTCGCCACCGCCAAGGACTTGTCCCGGGACCTGCTCAGGGAGAGTGGCAACCAGTGGTCAGGCCTCTTGGAGACTTCCAAGGTGGTCACATTCTGCCAGGACAACGTGATCTTTGGTTCTCAGCCGCTCCCCACCCCAGGAGCCACTCCGAGAGAGTCCCCAGACCACGCCCCCGAGCTCGAAGCTGCCAGAAGGCCGGTGCTACCGAAGCAGCCTGAGACCCCAGCAGAGAAGCCGCTGTTCTATACCTTCAACCTAGACAGCCCCGGCACCCCCACACCCCAGAGGAGCCGCCAGGAGGTCAGCTCGCAGCCAGAACGGCAGCCCCTCAGGGTCTGCAGCAGCACCTGCCCCAGGGCGCCGCTCCCCGCCTGCCAAGTGACCTGCCCCGGGCAGCGCCCGGCCCAGCCTCCCGGGGAAGCCACGCAGAGGCCCGCCTCCGGCGCCCCCACCTGCCAGCTCCAGGACCCTGCGGAAGGCCACGTGCTGGTGTTTGACATGGACACGGGCAGCACCAGGATGGGACTGCTGTGCCAGGACCCCCTGGGCTCACGGGCGGTACTGGTGGGCCTCGTGCCCAACCCTCCGCCCGTTTATGCCCCTGAGAATATGCCATCCACCCGGCCATTGGCCGTGCCCGTCGCCTCCCCTAACCGCGATCGCTCCAGCTTCGGGCCTGTCTCGTCGGTGCTGTCCAGCCCCGTGCCCTCCAGCCTCTCCTCTGGCAGCTACCGCGAGGTGGCCCTGGCCCACAAGGGAGCGAAGGTCAACCTGGAGTCACAGGACTCCCCTGGTACCGAGACACCCATCAGGGTGAGCCTGCTCCCCGCGCCCCTTCCACTGCGAGGGCCCCTCCAGTTTGGAGAGAGGACACTGAGCCGCGTCCAGGATCCTGGCTGGTCCAAACCTGCGGCTGAAAAAAGCGAACCCACTCACGCCATCTGGATCCTGGATGCGTCCGCGACGCAGGATGCCTCTGCGGGCCAGGCCAGGAGGCTGCCGGTGACCATCCCGGAGCTGGCCCCCCCAGCCACAGCCCAGGAGGCAGCCAGAGCCCTGCTCCTGGCGGATACAGGCAGCCACACCCGGAAGGAGGCCAGGACTGCTCACCCTAACTACCCTCGGGCTGAAGGGACTAGGCAGGCCCCCCTCAGCGGTTGGCCCCCACTCGCTGAGCAGCACCCCCTCTCTGGACAGCCCCCTCTCACTGGGACCCCTCTCACCAGGCAACTCTCTCTCACTGGGCAGCCTGCCTTTTGCCAAGAGCCCACCATCTCCAAAGAGCCCATCCTCTCAAGAGGCCCCCCCTCCACCAGGGAGGCTGGCCAGGCCCCCACCCCGTGCCAGGAAGGGGAGGCCTTGGGTCTGCCCACCCACGTGGGGATACTTCGGGTGCCCCTAGCCCAGGAAAAGACCTGCGTCTATGTGAGCAGAGAAACGGTGGGCCTCAGTGCCCCTCCCACCTCCAACTCCCATCGGCTCTCCTCCTGGCCGCCCGGCAGCTCGCTCAGGGCCCCGGGGGAGCAGCTCTCCCTGGTCACATTCACCACACCTGGCACCAGCCACAAGGTCTTGCCCATGGCCATGGTGGGCACTGTGCCCCAGGGTCCCGGGCTCAAGCTGACAGCGGAGGACATTACCGACTCGCCGGTGGTCACGGGCCTGGGCCTGCTCAGCGGGGCCTACTATGCTCTGCCGGGACCGTCCCCCGGGCTCTCCCTGGGCCATTTCCAGAGCTCGGCGGCCGTGGTGATCGACACAGGCTCCGGCTTCACCAAGTGCGGCCTGGCCGGGGAGGACCACGTCCTCAGCGTGGTGCCCTCCCAGGTGCAGCTGCTGCAGCAGCCCGCCCAGGACCCACCCAGGTACGCCATGCTGGGCGCCGGCGGCGGCTCTTACACAGTGCTGAACCGGGGAGTGGTCTCCGACTGGGACGCGCTGGAGGTGCTGTGGCAGCACCTGTTCTACTGCAAGCTGGGCAGGCGGCCCGAGGAGCTGGCCGTCCTGGTGGCCGACTCGCCCATCTCCCCGCGCACCAACCGCGAGAAGGTGGCCGAAATCCTCTTTGAGTGCTTCCACGTGCCGGCCATGCAGACCGTGCACCAGGCCCTGCTGGCGCTCTATGCTTATGGGCGCACCACCGGGCTGGTGCTGGGCAGCGGCCACGGCACCTCCTACGTGGCGCCCATCCTCACCGGGGATCTGGCCCCACTGGACACCTACAGGCTGGATGTGGCCGGGGCTGACCTCACGGAGTACCTGGCCGAGCTGTTGCTGGCCGGCGGCCACGCGCCGCCCAAGGCAGGGCTGGTCGACCACCTGAAAGAGACCTGCTGCTACGTCGCTCTGGATGTGAAAGCCGAGATGGCCCGCGCGCAGGCCCAGTCCCGGGTGAGCTTCCTGCTTCCGGACCGGCAGGTCATCACCCTGGGCTCCGAGCGCTTCCGCTGCCCCGAGGCCCTCTTCCAGCCGCACCTGCTGGGCCTCAACCAGCCGGGCCTCCCGCAGCTGGCCCTCCTGAGCATCAGCCGGCTGGAGGCCCAGCAGCAGGAGCAGCTGCTGGCCAACGTGGTGCTGGACGGGGGCAGCACGCTGGTGAGCGGCTTCCCTGAGCGCCTGCGACAGGAGCTGGGCCCTCGTGCCACCGTGCTGGGCTCCCCGCACCGCGCCGTGGCCGCCTGGCTGGGAGGCTCCATCATGGCATCCCGGGACTCCTTCCAGAGCCTGTGGCTCAGCCGCCGGGAGTACGAGGAGGAGGGCCCGTGGGCCATCTACAAGTACCATCTCTGAGCACATAAAGTTCTGGTGCTGTGGGCTTCGAGTGCTGTGGCGTGCTTTCGGCCCAGGGAGGTGTGGAGAGGATGGGGTCCCGGCAGGGGTTCGGGGCTGGGGCCCCTGGCACACCTGAGTCACACCCGCCTCTGCGCACTGCAACTCCCCAGGTCCCGGCAGTCTCTCCCTCCTAGAGCCCCCAGCCCCTCGGCATTGGCTCTGGTCTAACCTGACCTTTATTGCACCCCAAGGGCAAACACAGAGAGTGGCTGCTGTGGGTTTTGCCCCGTTGCCCTGGCGACAAGTGCAATTACCCTTGATTGCCAGCTGGTTGCCATGGCAATTTCAAACATAATGTAATAACCCACACAGCCTGGAGTGAGTCATGGTGGGGGCAGCCCCCTCCCCTAGCTCCAGAGGAAAAGACTATTTGCCCTCCCCCATCCTGGGCTCTATTCAGGGGACTGAGGCCGGCAACATAGACGGCAGCCACGTAGTCCCACGGTGGCTGGGGACCGACCGGGAGCATGGCTTGCCCCCCAGGGACAGTGCCTGTCAGGGTGTGGGCTTCTTGGGGGAGCTGGCCTGGGAGTGAGTGATCTCCTATCGTTGGAACTTGGCTGGGGCTCAGTGCTGATTGGCAGGGGTATGGGAGTGCTGGCCTTTGGTGTCCTGGGACAGGAAGTGCGGGTGAAGGGGCAGATAAGGTTGGCTCCAGGGTCGGGTGGGGGGCACACCTGAGCTGTGGGTGGGACTCAGGCCTGTTTTGTAGGTTCTGTGGATATGGGGCTCGCACCTCATCCTGCCTCTCTGACTGCCCAGCCCAAGTGGGAGCCAGAATGGTCAACTTTGGGCTCCCTTCTCCCCATTGGCCCCCCAGCCCAGGCAGCTCCCGCCTCCCCAGGAGGTCTCATAGGGGCTACTGGGCAATGCCAATGCCAATGCCAATGCCAATTGCCCCTGCTCTTGTCCCAAACTCTGCCCTGCGCTGGGGCCTCCTGCCATCCCTCTGGCCAGGGTGGTGGCTAGAAGCCATGGCTCCTGACCTCGTCTGGCTCTGAAAGGGGGGTAGAAATGGACCTGTCCCCCGAGCCCGTGGCTGGGAGAGTTGAAGGGATGGCGTGGAGCTGGTGTGGCTACTTCCTCCCCGGAGGGCAGCTTGAGATCGAGCCAAGACGAGGAAGCCCTCCTCTGCCTGAGCTGCTCTGGCTGGAGGCTGGAGGGATGAGCTAGGGCCCAGCCCAACCCTGGGCTCTGTCTTTAGGTTGCTCGCTGCACAAAAGACAAAGACCGGGCTTCATCTCCCGCCACAAACACACAGGCACACGCGCACACACACACACAGCTGAGAGTGAGGGGCTGCTCTAAGTGTAGAGACTAGAAACAGCCAATAGCATAGGGTTACACAGCCCTGCCCACCGCCAGCCATGGTCCGGTCTCTTCCCATTTCCTGTCCCCACACCCCGATTGTCTCTACAGTCCTGAGGCCTGTGTCATACAGGAAGGGGACCAGAGTCCCCAGGGACCCGTGGCTCCAGGGACCCATGGCTCCAGGGACTAGCTACCGCATCCATGCGCACACGTGAGCGAGCACGCCTGAGTGCACACAGAAGGCAGACACACGTGCCCCCGGGCACCACTGCACACACAGTGCCGTTGCCTTCTCCGTCAACAACAGAAGAGCGCGCGCTCGCACACACACACACACACACACACACACACACACACACGTGTGCACACACCCTGCCACGTGCTCTCACCCACAGGCACGTGGAGTGTGCACAGGACCCAGAAGGGGTGGAGCCCTGCCAGCAGCCAGCCGGGCCCCAGCAGCCACCTCTTCCCCTGCCTCTAACCCCCATCCCAGCCTCTGCTTAGCCCCGCCTCTCCACGCCCAGATATGCATGCCCTTCGGGAAACACAGAAAACATGGTGACACGTGTGACACGTGTGACCTGTGTGAGGTCAGCAGCCCATTGCCCAGCTGTCCGTACAGCTCGGAGAACCACGGTTTCGGGGACAGCGGGCGGACAGCAGGAAGGACCGCGTGCGGGCTGTGTTCACTCTGCAGACAGAGCTAAGCCTCCTGGGAGGAGACACGGGCTCTGCGCTGCAGACACCAGCTTGCCGGCAGACGCCTGCCCACAGGTGGCATCGGGCTGCCCTGGGAGAGGTGACCCAAAGCCCGGGCAGGGGGGAAGGGGAGGAAGGTAGCCAGGGGCAGTCATTCCCCAGGCAGCCTTACCTTCCTCACGTGGGGAGTCACACCCCTCGGCATCCAAGAGGAGACTCAACATGGCAAAGGGTTGGAGCTGACCCCTCCCAAGATGGGGTTGGCAGGCTCCCTGGGAGGGGTGGGGCGAGTGGAGAAGCCTAAGTCTGCCCTCCAGATAGAGGCCTCGGGGCTTGTGAGGGGAACGGGCCAGCACTGGCCCACATGCCTCCCAGACAAGGGACAGAGGATGGCCACGGACTTCCCTTAGCGCTTCTGCCGGGCAGCTCTCAGCCCCTCCGGCCGGGGCCAGCCCCGCAGTCCGCCCAGGCCGTGCCAGGCTCCACTGCCTGGGCTCGATCTCCAGCTGCCCTCTGGGCGGAGGTAGGTCCGAGTCCCCAGAGCCCAGCCCAGGCCGCTGATGGTGACCCTGCGCTGGCGAGTTTGAGGGTGACGTGACTGGGAAGAAGGCGGAGTCCACACCACGCCAGAGGTGACTCCTCTAGTTTGGGGAATTCAGGGCCATAGAGGAGAGGGCCGACTGGGCCACCATCCTGGCCCAGACTTGGGGGCGGCACAGGCTGTGGCCCGGCAGGAGTGGGGGTTGGGGTGGAAGGCGAGTCTGCCTGGGGGTCTTGGACCCTCACTGGCCACCTGCGCCCCACACCCCCCCCTCCATCTTTATACTCCGGCTGGGAGGCTGGTCTGTGCTGCGCTCGCCCTGGCGCTGCCCACTCGGTGCTTCCACGCGGGTTTCACCCTTTGGGTCCCGCGCAGATCCAGGACCCAGGCTCCCCGCACCTCCCTGCGGGGGGCAGAGCAGGGCCCCTCTGACCCCGTCGCCCAGCCAGGTCGAGGCCCTACGGGAGCCTCTGAGCGTTGGCCGGGCCTGCTCGGCACCGGCACCCCGGTGGAGTGGGGTTTCAGCCTCAGGCTCCTCGGGGTCGGGGCGGAGCCGGCGGAGAGAGGCCCCGCCCCCAGCCCGCCCCCGGCCCGCCCCCGGCCCGGGATGCGAATTCGGTGCCGCCGAGCGGCGGGAGATGCTGACGGTTCGCGAGCCGGAGCGGCTGCAGCTGGCGCCGCGTCTGCCCCGCGTGTCCGGAGCGGATCCTGCCCGCCGCCCCCGGAGCCCTCGGCGCCCCGCTGAAGCCGCGGCCGCCGCCTCCCCGTGATCTCCCGGCGCTGCAGGTGCGGGGCGGGCGGGCGGGCGCCCCGAGCGCGCTGTGTGGTCCCGGAGGACGGGGTCTCCGGCTCGAGGTGCGGGGCGCCGAGTGCGCGGGGACCGCGAGGGCTGTGGCCCCGGCGCGGGCAGAGCTCGCGGGCTCTGCAGATCCGGGGTCGGGTGCGGGGTTGGGCTGAAGTTCCCCGTCACCCCTGACAGCTCGGGGTCCCGGGGGGAGCCCCGGAGCCCCCAGTCCCCGCGAATCGCCTCTACTTGCCCCCCCCCTTTGTGTACCCCCCGTCTCGCTAGGCTCCTAATTGTGCGAACATTACCCCGCAGGCACTGGGGGTGTCCCATGGGGGCAGGGGCCAGGCCGAGCGGTCCCTCCGGACTCCCAGAGCCGCTGGCCTCCCCGCTGCCCTGGGCTCCCTCCCTCCCGCGCAAAGCAGCCACTAATTCCCCTGACAAGGGGGAGTTTTGGGGGCATTTATTTATTTATTTATTATTTATTTTTCATGGACGACAACCTGGAGGGGGCTGGGCGGGCTGCCGGGAGCGGGGAGGGGTCCCCCCAGCCGCTGGGGACCACCAGCCCCTGAGCCCAGACCCAGCTCCCAGGGCTCAGCCGGGACCCAGGGCCGACCCAGCGCTGGGCGGTGGGTGGGGGACCACGCGCTTCCGCTGGGAGGTTCGGGCTCGGCGCTCACACGTGTGCCTCCCGCATGTGCGCTGCTGTGCCAGCGGGGGCGAGTGAGCAGCCCCGGGGAGGGAGGTCGGGGGGCACCGGGTGGGGAGCACGGCCCCGGCTCAGGGGGCGGTGGGCCGTGAGCGGGGAGGTTCTGCCTTCCCAGCCTGTAGCTGTGGCGGAGACCGGGGCGCCCCCAGCCCCCACAGCTCTGCAAACGCTTTGTCCGCACCTCCTGGCAGAGCCTGCTCCCCCAGATTCTCCCTTAGGGAGCAGGCCCTCTCCCTCACCGAAAGCTCAGCCCTTCTGGCCACCCTCCTCCCAGGCCCAGGCTTTGAGCCCCCCAAGGACCCCCAGGGGACCGGGTGCCCCCCCCAGTTGATTCCTGTCAGCTTTAGCCACCTGCCCAGCCTCGGTTTCCTCACGTGGGGTTCTGGCGCCTCCACTTCTCTCTGTGCCAGGCTCTCCTCTCCTCTGCCCCGTTTGGTGCGGACGCCCAGGGGCCGTGGGCTGCGTCCCCGTGCCGGCTGCTGGGCCTCCTCTCCGGCCAGTGCCCTGGCCACCACTCACTAGCAGCCCATCAGTCCCTGCCCTGGAGGAGGCCAGAGTCTGGTCTCCATCCGAGGAAACTGAGGCAAGGGGGGCGTGCAGCTGTTATCCTGTTTCTAGGTTGCTTAGGGGGCTGTCCTGACAGGACGCCCCGGCGGGAGGGGGCCTGTGGCAGGGAAGCAGGCTGAGCTGCCGAGGGGGCCCCGGGCCCACGGCCTGGAGAGGATAGCAGAAGGGGGAGGGGCAGCGCTGGGCAGCTGAGAGGAGGGGCTGTGAAGGGAGCAGCCAGGTCTCCAAGGTTTGTTTCCATCCCCCACACCTGCGCCTTCCACATGGGGGACCCGCCTTCCTAAGCCGGGGTGAAGGGGCTTTGGGGGAGGGCACTGCAGCAGCAGGCCTCTTCCCAGGGTGAGGCTGGGCCCCCCCTCTAATTAG